ACATTAATTCTGTAATAACATCAAGAAATATGTTAATGTTGTGTGTAAAAGAAAGGAATGGCTCCGGCCGGGGACCAGGAGGACCTTCTGTCTTCTCCTCTGAGGGCTGAGAGGAAATGCAGCCCTGTCTATGGCCCCAAAGATCAGTGTCACATCTGGCCTTGGCATTGCACATGTAATGCGTGAATCAAATAATTTTGGTGCTTCCAACTCCTTCTTGCTGTATATATCAAGTCTCTGTTGAAAGAAGTTAATGTCTGATAAAACCCAATCGGCATCCAATGTGTTAGGGACCTCTAAGAAATGCCAAAATCCCAAACCAATGAGCCACACCACATATAATATCAAACCCCACATCAAAATTTGCACAATCTCTTGTATTAAATTTTGTGGGAACATATGATGTGTAGCTCTATTTAATGAAGCCACTCAATAAAAGAAGAAGATAAGAAGAAAAGGAAGATATACATATTAGAAAACCTACAGTCGTCTTTGGCCTTCCAGCCAAGGATATAATTGAATCCAAACCCTTTATTTTTTTTTTTTTTTTTTTTTGGTTGAATAAGAGAGAATCAACCCCAATCATATCAGCTCTAAGATATATTTCAAAGCCTTGATAAAGGCATACACCAAAAACAGTGAAATCAATTCAATCCTTATCATATCAATTATAAGATACATATCCAAACTCTGATGAGGGTGCATATCAAAAACAGTAACATTAAGATAAAAAGTAACTTATTTTCGAGATATAATTAGCACATATATTAAACTCTTTGTAACTTATTTTCGAGATATAATTAGTACACATATTAAACTCTTTATAAATATGTATGGTTGATCTAGATATTCTCAAGATTGCCGGGGGGATGGGGGGGTGGGGGAGAGATTAATTAACATCATTATAAAGCAATAACAAGATGTACCAACAAAATAAATAAATAAATAAAGCAATAACAAAGCACAATAGAATCAGTTTCAATGATTAAATTATGAAAGTTTCTATGCACAGCAATGGACAATCCATTACGAACGGTCCAAAGTTCAGTAACTAAACTGGTGATGATGCCAATTTTTCTTACAAAGACTACAATCTAGTTGCCAAGATGGTCGCAGACAAGCCCTCCAGCAGCAGCTTCTCCCGGATTGGAAAGCACCGAGCCATTAGTTTAAAGCTTTAAAGTACCAAGAGGTGGTTTTGTGCATTTGCAAAAGGTAAGGCCGAATGTGATGGGAGGGAGGGTCATAAGGTTTAGATAATTATTAAAGGATAATAATTAGTATACTCTTTGATTCAACACGTACATCTCACAACATATTTATTAAGAAATGATTTTTTTTTTATAATTTGAATTAAATGTGAGAAAAACCTAAAAGCTATAAAACTTATTGACTACACTAATAGGTGTTGCGAGATATATTAAATTAAAAAGTGTACCAATTATTTCAATCATCAAAACCTTTTATTTGATTAACAAACTTTTTATTTGATTAACATGGGTACTTAGACTTTTTTACCTGATTAATCCAACATGCGTTAGTAAAACTTTGAAAAGAGAAACGAGCAATTAACCTTGAAAATGTGTTGCATTTAGTTATATATCCTTCCTTGTTATCCTAATATTTTGCAACTAATCAATTCAAGAACATGATGAGAGCCTGCCAACTTTGCACCAGTCATACAGACTCAAAAGCAGGGTTGAGAATTGTGTACTAAATGCGCCAATCCAACTCGCCGAATAAAGAACGACTTGGTATGTTGGGGTGTGGTTGTTGCAACCATGAAAATCGTTAAGTTCATTAAAATTTTGGGTTTGTTTCTTAAACAGTATTTGAAAATATTAATTTGTTGATTGATTTTAATTTATTAATTATTAAATAATATTTATTTTATCAATTAATAATTAATAGTTATAATTATTAATTATTTTTATTAATCAAATTATAGAAAATTAATATTTTTAAAGATAATATTTTACAATTTTGATTGCCGTAAACGTTCTTCCCGTGATGCCCACTTGGTCTTGGTTGTTTACCTACTTGCTACTTGGGGCATCATGCACTCAGAAAAGTGGCAAGTTCATTAAACCTCACCTTACCAAAATCTTCAGAAGTGGGACCTTAAGAACGAAAAATAAACCTTGAGCAAGCAATAATGTCTATAAGAAAAAGTAAAAATTAAGATTTTTTTGGCATTTAAAATGTTAAAAATGCTGGTGAAATTGTTCAATATTTTTAATTGATCATTTTCATTATTTTTCTTGATAATTAAAATTTTAAAAAAGATTAATTTTCTACATTCCCAATATATATATATGAAAAGTAAATTATACTGCTTACTTAACAATGTTGGAGGGGGTGAAACCCTTGATGTTCGAGGTTTCCCTCCGGTTATAGTTAAAAGTAGTACAGTTTGCACAACATTTTTTATGTATATTTTTTATATCAGAGTCTTCTGTATGGAAATTTTTTTTTTTTAAAAGTTACATGTTAAAAATATATTAAATATAGCTTTTCGTAATAAATACATGTTAAAAAAATAAAAATTAACTTTTAATTTAATTGTTTATTTAAATTCATTGACTACTTGACAATAATATTAAAATTAAAGTCAATTTTTACATTTTTTATATATATTTATGACAAAAGTGCACCTTCAATCAATGTTTTAAGGATATAAAGTAGCAATATCTATATATATATATGGATCCACTTACATTTAAGTCCCACACACCACACTTACATAAAATCTTAACCATTCATCTCTCCACTTTTAATGAATTCAATTTATTTTTTTTAATTATATTTATTAAAGATAATTCTGTTTTCATCTTCCTTTTTTTACCTAATGACC